TTCCGTGAGTAGCGTTTAGTAGAAGTCAGCATAATTAAAAGGGGGAAAAATCTAAGTGGATGTTTTGTTGACAGGTCAGGAAATTTGAGAATTTTGGAGTGAGGTAGATGCAAAAGAGTCAGGGAATTAGAGAACAGAGAAATGATGGATATTGAAACACGTAGTTGAGTGTCGAGCTGTGCGTTTCATGTCATGGAGGTGGAGCACAAGAATATCCAGATTTTGCCGTGATTCATATGCTGCCAGGTTTTCATGTGAGCGATCAAGAGTTTCGTCACCAATGCCATGCGTTCCGCCCTCGAATTCGGTGGGTTCTGACCTCAGATCGGTCGTGCAGGAGACCCTGAGCCTTGGCCCGAGAGGGCGTCCATACGCTGACCGGACACTGGCTCGGCTTCGCCGCGATATCGTAATTCGAAACTGATTAATTTTCGATCCAAGTTTTTTCAATAATTTCGTGAGACCAGTGGCGAGGCGTGAATGATCGATTATTGATATATTCCCATTTAAATCTATGGTAAAGAATCGATTGTGAAGGTGTTCGTTGCGAAAATCCTGTTTATCGATCCTCTTCCATAGGTTTAAAGGGCAGATCAATTGATACATCGCAAAGCAAGCCAGGCCGCTACGTGAGATGCCAGAATAACGCCGAATCAAGTGTCAAAAGTTACCTAACGATGATGAAACCAGAAAAACTCTCAAATCTACTTCGGTCTTTCGATATAGCTACTTATAGTTTCTTTTCCGTGAATCAACGATGCTGTGTTGAGGAAAAAACCTCGTATGAGCATGCAAGCGTTGCAGAATTTCCTTTGATAAAATATGAATTTGCAGGGAGCTTTGTGAATATTTTTCTTCACATTTTCAGATAATTTTATTGGTATACTTGCCGTCCTGGACGCGCTTTGCGCGTCCGTCACGGCCAGCCAAGGGGCTGCGCCCCCTGGACCCCCGATCACTCGCTACGCGAGTGACATTCGGCTCGCTCCGCGAGCCATTTTTCTCAGTGATTGGACGTTTGATCACTAAGATGTATTTATTTTGGAGACTCTGGAGGCAAAAATGATTTCATCATAGAACCTTGTTGCCGGAGCTTGTCATCATTTGCACATGAATAGATGTGTGGAGATGAAGCGATGATGGGGATCGATCATTTCTTCAAAAACGCATTTGATTGGGACGTCATCCCATTGGGTGGCGGAAAAAGACAATCCATGGATCTCCTTCCGCGATTTGACTCGCTGAAGTAGCAAAAGTTCATCTTTACCTCTTAAGAAGATTATCGGTGGCGTAGGGGTCTAAAAACTGCTCAACGATAGTATACAGGGTGAGCGAAAAGTCCTCGACCCCCCCTCTAACTTTTGAACGAATTGAGCTAAGGAAATGAAACTTTGGGAATGTTCCTATCTCAAAGGGGACCATCTTTTGAGGGGGTCAAAATTTTGGCCCCCCCCTCAGGGGGGGGGGGGGAGGGGCCCCCCAACTTTTTTTTTT